CCCCAAAACCCCAAAACCCCAAAACCCCTAAAGAATCATTTTATCTATAAAAAGTAGTTTTATGATTATTAATAAACTTAATAACTACATTTAATCTCAATTTAATTATAGAAAATAAGTAAATCACAATAGAATGGATATTTTGATAACTCTATCAGGGGTAAAATAAAACCCTAAATAAACTCTAAATTAGAACTTCTTCCTATCTAGATAACTTTCAAATGCCTTACATCCTTCTCAATCTTAAAAGTTATCTAGAAAAAGTTCTATTGTATAAGAAAATAACTCTGTGTAAAAGTATTCTATTCAACTATCAAAAAGACCTATTAGTGCATTAGAGTAAAATGATGGTTCTAATAACTAAGGAAAACAGCATGAATAAATTAACGATGATCGTTCAAGCTAAAAAGTTGAGTACAATTAAAAACAAAGAATAAAGAGTCCAATAATGAACTCTAGTAAAAATGCAATCATTAATAATCACACAAGAAGCACATCAAATTTTGAGAATGTTTAATCATTAATAACAGTCAAAATGACTAGTCCTTCACCTAAAACTCCATTTGATAGTCTTTAGAGTCTCTTAACTATTAGAAAACATGAATCTAGTCCTAGTCCAAATAATATAAATCGATTCTCTTAATCAGGCTTGCAACTGTCATCTTAGAATTCAATTTTTGAGTAGAATAGACACAGTGACCCATATATTTTGAATGATATGAATAAAATACTAAGTAAGATGAGTGAAATAAGAACTTCAATAGAGAAGAGTGAGTAACTATCAATGGGAATCAAAATTTTAGATGTAAAACAATTTCAGAGGTAAAATTCACAATAGTTGCAATAATAAAACAACTTCTAAAGACTGAATACAGCTAAGATTCAAGTTTCCTAGCTCATATCTCAAATCACAAAACTGGATAGTGATAGGAAAAAGAATGGGCCAAGATAGCTGAAGTCATCAGTATCAAAAAATAACTTATTTGATATTAATGAGAAAAAACTAAAATAGCAACAGAAAAAATCAATAGCAGTAGGAGGCCCCAAAAATAGCATTAATTTAGAGGTAGATTAAAGAGCCCATAGGAAAAGTTCATAAAATCGGGAAAGAATAAAACAACTACAGTTATAGTAGATAAGTGATAAGAAGGGACAAGGAGATTTGAATTCAAATAGAAGCCATAAGTAAAGCAATTAGGCTAAGGTTAAGATCTAATTAAATCAAATAGATAAATAGAAAAGTTCAAATAATTTACTGCAATAAAAATTAAACCTGAATATTGACGTTTAAAAATTTTCCAGAAGGGAAAGTGTGAAAGTATACAAGTATTAGGACATGGGCAAGGGAATATTGAAAAAACCTCCGACTAAAATTAAAAAGAAAGGATAAAACAGTGATGAAGAGGACGATGAATCCCAAGATTCATGGGAGACCATTGAGAATTAGAATTAGTAGCAAAAGAAAAATAAGTAAGTGGTTGAATTCAATCCAAATCTAGATAAGAAAGTCTCCTTTTAATCAGGCGCTGATAGTAAGTTTATTAGGTTTTATATTTTTAGCGTAATAATGTCTTCAATGAAACATAACTACTACTATTATTCGATAAAAGACTCTAATATCTTCGGTATATATTATTAGGACGAATCAACTTGATAAGATACCAGCTTATAAAGAAGATGAAAGAGCTATAGTTATTCACCATGGAAATAAAATTATCCATCATTCAATTCTTAAGGACTTTGCCGAAGATCTTAATATTGATGTTCTTGTAAACAGGGTTACTGCAAATCAGGTAGTTATTGAGTCTTAAGAAACCTAGCCCTAATAATTTAAAAATGAACAAGAGATTGAGAAGTTTCTAAGCAAGCATTCAAAATCATATAAATCAATATTTTCTCTTTAGCTTCTCGCTGTTGGAGGTGAGTCAATGGTTTGCAAGATTGAAACCAAAGAACTTGAAGAACTAGTTGTTAAGATTCCTATGCTTAGTTCGAAATTACATTAAGGAAATCGGGAATCAGAAAATTTAAATTATTTCCAAAACTCTTTGTACGAACACTAAATGATGAAAGCAAGAGGACATAGCAATTTCATCCCCTCTATAAAAGAAGAAGTCATAGAATATAATAGATAGAAAGGAATTATTGTAAGATACGTAGTCATTATAGAAAGAGCTTAAAATGATCTCCATAAACTCTTCAGAATCTGGAGGAGTTCAGAAGAATCATTTAATAAGAGAGAATTTTACAGCACTGAGAAACTAGCGTTTTACTGCTTCTAAGCTATGAAGTTAGTTAACTATCTACACTCTAGAAATATTTATCATGGCGACATCAAACCGAGTAATTTCTTGATATTTAGGAATCAACTATGTAAAATGGGGGATTTCGGTATCTCAATGAAAATAAAGCATTCTTTTATTGAAAAGAAAGACTAGCCTAATTACTACAAGGCAAAAGGATTGTCTGAAAAGTATGCTCTTTAGTACATTATAGATGATAACTTTGTAAATAAGCAACAACTTTATTAGAATGATAGATTTGCTCTCTTTATGACTTTCTGCTTGAATTATGAATCTATGAAGCGACAAAATCCCAATAATTACTCTTAACTCATGGAGGAGATAATAAAAGACTTAGATATTAACAACAAAGAAATCAAGACTTTGAATGAAATAGTGATTAAATACACAAGATATTTTGCTTAAAATAATGAGTTTGCTCTAAAGTTATGCAATCAGTTTAAAAGTGAGAATAAATTATCTGCTATCAGAGAAGTGTTACTGAACACTAACTACAAATTTGTAATTGAGGGCTTAATAAATTTAGCTTAGTAGCAGAGATTTCAAGAATCTTTATTCTGGTCTAAGAAGAAATCAACTTTGACAATTAATAAGTAAGAACTAGTGTTAGATTCAGGTGAACAATATGATCCACTGGACTATTAAGAAAATGAATTTGCTGAATTTTCTATTTAGAAATAAGATTACAATCGACAGAATTCACAATTATTTACAAAGTTTTCAAACATCTAATCCTGGGATTATGATGAAGACAAGTAAAATTTACGTATAGAGGATCCAGTATGGAAACAAATGGCCATTTTACTACTTTACTCTTGTGACGAAAGAGCAGATCATCAGCTCAAATCTTAGATTAAAAAAAGAAGCTAGGAAAGTTTCAAGGTAGGTAACATAAGACTAGATGTTGCCTTGGAATTTCTTCAGAGCAAAAAAGAAGATTCTTTTTATGATAAAAACTACTCTGATGAGGATTTGAGATTCTTCTATGATTATATCAAAGCAAACAACCCCAAGCCTAAGTTGATCTTACATTTGGAGACAATATTTTCCAATCTCAAAAAATACGATATTCTAGTTGAAATCAATGCCATATAAACTTAGATGCTGCTTCAGACTTAAAAATATGAACTTGCTGAAGCTAAAGCTAAGAACTGTATTTAACTATCGCAAAATTTCTCCAAAAGAGAAGATCTTGAACTAGATTGTCTATTAACTATTGCTTTTTGTAAAGCTATTAAAAATAAAATGCAGATGAGTCAGAGAATGATTGACTAAAGCTATAATATGATAATTTCTAAATTTGGAAATTAGTCCAAATAGTATCTCTAGCTTTTATAAATTAAATCATTGATCGCTTAATCCTAAGGTAATCTATAAAATGCTCTGCAATTAGAAGAAGAAAGGCTTGTTTTATCGAGAAATCTTTACGGAGATCCAGCAAACGAAACAATCTCATGTTACCTTAGTACTGGCTATCTTCATATGAAACTTGGAAACCAAGATAAATGCATTGATTACATAGAAAAATACGCTAAATTTTAGGATCTAAAGCTAGCCTACTACATTCATTTAATTGAGGCCTTCTATTATTTCTAGAATCATCAAAAACTTAGAGATTTGATTAATCAGATTTAACAAAATGGCTACACAAATGATTTAGTCTATCTGAAATTTCTCTCTTGCAATTTTAACTTAAAATAATACAAATTGGTCAGATATGACTAGGAAAAGAAAAATAAGGTTATGAATGCTTTGATTGACTCTAAAGATAGAGGATAATACATCATTGAGTCAACAAAGTATAAATCCCTATTCCTTGGTGCACTTAATTTCTGCAAAAAATATCAAATAAAATTCCAAGATTCTGAAATAAACATTTTACAAACTAATTAAGTAATTGAGAAAGTCCAAAATGATATCTTAATTGATAAGAAGGAAAAAGTAAAAGCTCTTGAATAAATAATGGAAAAATGGACTAAAATAGTTGAAAACAAGATAAAGAGTCCTGTGGTAAGAAGAAGATCAACTTTAAGAAGAGTCTCATTATTAAGGCAACAATTTTAATAATGATTGTCAATATTCCTCTTTTATAAATAAAGGAATTAACCTTAATTTAATGACTACAAAAAATCCATTAAATCTCATCATATGGGGTTTTGGGGTTTTGGGGTTTTGGGG